TATATTAATTATTTTTAAAATTAATATTTTGTATTTATGTTGTATAAATTTTCACTTTTTTTGTTATTTAAGTATATACAAGGTGATTATTTTATACCCTGTACCTTCATTAAGGGTATTTGGCAAAGACATGTACTGGTTCGGGTAGCTGCCATACAACTCTAAAAGCCAATTTTAAATATTTGGAAAAATAATAAAGCTAGATTCATGAAACTTTGCAGTCAAGTGTCCAACTTTAGGTCATATATATCCCTAAAGTTTTGGTAGAATGGCTTACTAGGTTTCGGTAGCTGTTACGCAATTCTAAAAGCCAATTTAAAATATTCGAAAAAGTAATTAAGTTAGATTCAATAAACGTGGCAATTGTGTGTTCAACTATAATTACATGTTCGTGAAATTTCTATAAATTGGTTTTACAGGTTCGAGTAGTTAGTAAGCAACAATGAAAGATAATTCTAGATATTTCAAAAAAAAATTTTTAGACTCAGATTGTCTAGGACCTAGGTGCATCGACTGAAACGTTTTCACTTGTTTTTTTCTAAATTGTTAGCATTTTATTGTGAAAAGGAATCAAAATATGAATAATACAATCGATAATGAAAGTGTATGTTGTAGTGCTTGCAAAATTTAATGGTAAAAGTTGTCATTTATTATGTCACATCACAAATTGCCATTTAAATATTATAAACCTTAATTTATAATAAATTAGACAAAATTCAATTAAGTTCACCTTTGCATTATGTATTTGCATGCATATGCGCCTATATACAGGGTGACTCAGTAAAGAGTCCAATATTATATATCATTGTTTAGGGTATCGCAAATAGGTAAAATTTTTCTTTGAAAATCTTTGGAACTTGTTATCAAAATTCAACGGTTTTCGAGATACAGTGATTTTAATGAGTTTTCACGAAATTTCGACTTCGCAAATTTTTTTGCTTATAAGCTCCTCTTTCGAAAAAGATAGAGGCTTCAAGCGAACAATTTGTGAAAGGACTAGTAAAGGGTTTGTAAAGCAACACATTATTTAATTTTGTATTTTACGTACTTTCGGAATACCAAGCATTTAAACTTTGGAAAAACGCCATTTTTTTCCTTTTTGTATTTTTCTAATTTTCTTAATCCTCACAATTTTACGTGAAAATTTTAGAAGAAACTTTAAATTTGGGTAAAGATTTTTAGCCACTTTCTTGAGCTTTAATTTAAGTTAACAAACGTTAAAAAATCTTTTACGGTACAGGAGATTTATCCTACTTCGCTCCTAGGAAGAGCATAGGGCTGGTGTATGATTATTTTATATAACCATGAACCAGTTTTTGATGCATTGGGTTTACTAGGTAGATGACGAACCTACCGTAGTTTTTTCTTAATACTAGTGTCTAATATTATTGTTTTTATTTTGCTGGTACTTTTTTAGTACTTTTCCAAAAAATTTTTCGAAAAAAGTGCTTATTAGTTTCACTCTGTCCGTCCGTCCGTCCATGGACACTTTTTTTGTTTACAAAACTTCTACACCCTTGAAGATAGAAAGCTGAAATTTTATATGTACATAGACCTTTACTAGAAACTTACTTCCGTAGAACATAATTTTTACCTATCTCCCCCCCCTCTAGAAGTTATACCCCCCCAAAACCTTAAAAATGGCCTTTTTTAACTATTTGTTGCAATGAAACCATAAGCATTTTTGAAATTTTGCAAACGCAGAAAGGCAGCGGATTGCTTTCCCTAGCGCGGTATACTACAGTTAAACTTTAGAAAAACAAAATGGCCGCTTAAATTTACCGTTATCTAAAGTCCTTTTTTTCCAAATTTTTGATGTCGTTTTTCTTCTAGATCCCAGCCTGTAGAAGCTTGAAATTTTAGAGACTTTTAGACATTAACAAATAGTTCATTTCGTTAGAAGAAAATTTTTTTCCATCTCCACCCCCTCTCAAGTTATCGCCCCTTGAAATTTGTAAAATTTGAATTTTTGACACCTTATATTTCCGAAATCGCACGTTTTTTCAAATTTCTATAAACGCAAAAAGCTAACGGTAAATTCCATGACATTAAAAAATATAATTATTTTCCTTAACTCACACAATTAACCCGTAAAATCGAGCATTATGTTAACCCCTTTTTATATTAATTTTTGCTTTATTTCAAAGACTGCATAAATCGTTGATCCTAAAAATATGCAATCCTAGAAAGAGTTTTGTATATGAATGAAAATAATTTTAATAGTGTGATAGGTATACATAGACTGTATTTAAAAGCAGAATTTTCACTTGTTGAAGGGAAAAGTGCTACAATACAAACCATTGGTTTGACCCAACTTTATTTAATATTGAATATTATTAAAATATAGCAATTAGTTAATATTAATTTTTTTATTTTTATATATAATATAAAAATCCGAGACCCTTCAGCTAAAGGACCAGTGCAATAACTACTGCACCATTGGTCAGGTAACCATATATTTGCTTGTGCAAATTTTCAAAACTTTGCACTTAATCATTTTTGAGATACGGCCAAATTACTTTTGGAATTGTACGGCAGCTATCACAGTGTTCATAAAATCTCAACAGCTTCTGGCGAATATAGCTCCCATTTTAATATATTTTTTTACAAAATTTCAGTACTGTAGTTGTATGGCATAGCTAACAGAAGGAGCTAAACAATTTCAACGACTTTTATCAATCAGAAGAGCCCTGGTAATATATTCGCATGTGTAAAATTTCAATACCAATGCCTTGATCATATCCAATTTAAAAAGGGTATCGGCATTTACTACCATAAATTATTTGTGAGTCAAACTTAATTGGTTTTTGAGTAACCGCTTAGACGGACGGACATTGTCTAATCGACTCAAAATTCGACTCTAATCAAAAACATACACTAAAGTTCATATTTCAGACCATTATTTCTTAGCGTTACTATACTCTCGAACTCTATATGCGTTAATATACTCTTCGAACAAACATGCGAAAAAAAATTGTTTTAAAAAAAAACTTTTTTTTTGATTTGATTTCAATTTATTAGTTAGAAATGTGTGTTTTTGAGAACATGCGTTAAATATTTATAGTGTAACAGGTATAACAAAACCCACAATCCAACTGCAGTAGAAATAACAATCGGGATTTACGTAATAAAACATAACATACACTAAATATTTTCAATTTAGTAAGAATAATAAAGAATTTGTATGAAAAGTACAAACTATGCATTTTTTGCATGTTTTTAAGCCAATTTAACATAATATACTGGGCAAAAATATAAAGGATAAAGGAAAATGTTGCATGGATAAACTTTTAGATCTTATTGTAGCACATCGAAAAAAACTGACGCAAATTTTCGGGAAAATTCAAGTTTTTTAAAAAAAAAAACAAAAATTCTGACATTGAGGATTTCGAAAACTATGGCTCAAATCGAATTGATTGTAGAACCGAAAATCAGAGAAATTAATAACCTGTAAAACAAGTGATTATTACTGTATGTCGCATAACTCCGAAGTCGTAAACGTTTATTTATATGCAGGAAAAATCTGGTACCTTTTTTTCAACAGGCTGTAGTTCGAAAATTAAAGTTTTAAGATTTCTATGTGTTGAAAGGTAAGTAGGTGGGTTGTGGGCATATCGTTATGTTTATCTACTTTTTAAGACACGTTCTCAAGACGGGAGATGTGGTAACAAAACAAAAGATGAAAAACATTTAAAAGCTGAGCACTTAGAAGGGAACAGATTTTTGGATGCTAAAAAACTGTTTTTGGAAACCTAAATAGGTCTTAAAATAGGAAAAAAATTCTTAAAAAGGTTCTAATAAACTGCCAAAATTATACTAATAAAAATCAAAGTATTATTTTTACTTCAAGGAATCAAAATAAATTTTCAGTTTTGATTGAACAACTTTTATAAATATTAATTTAAATTTTTATTTTTGATTTTAGCTGAAATTGCATGTGGCATCTTCAATAATCTCTACCTGGGTATGAACCAAAGTATATCTATTAATAAGTAGTTCGACTCCTCGTTTACATCACACTAATGCAATAACTCACCAATATTTGTATACAAAAAATTCTCTTAGCTAAAAGAGTTAAGCATTTTTATATACATAAGAATTTTTGGGAAAGTTAAAAAGTACGCAATAGATGTCTACCTCGTATAATTTGAAAAAGACAAATAATATTAAAAAAAAACTTAAAATTTGTAATTAGTAATTGTAATTACATTTATTGTAATATAAACTATGAACTTTTTATTTCTATTTTGTTTTAAAAATTTAAAACAAATATTTCTTATGAATATACATACATATACTCGTATCGGCAATAGACATTTTTTTTATAAATTACTTAATTGAAATGAGCATAATTTCTATGCCTCGCCTACATTGCGGCTTGATGTGAAATCAACCCGAAACTCAAGCTGCGTTTTTACTATGTTAGCTTAAAAGCTCAAAAATGACGTTTAGCTATTAAATTTCAAATCATTATTAACATTTCAAAGCAAGTAAGTGACTTGAGTGAAGCCGGCTTCAGGTCAAGTAACGTTTATATAGACAATAATAAGCTCGAAGCAACCATATATACGGGGTACATACATATTACTACATCACATTGTGTATCTACCTTGAATAGGTATGTATGTGCCGTGCAATAAAGTATGAAATTTTCAATTTAAAACTATTACTTTCATACATTCGAATGTTTTTACCTAACTTTTATGAAATGAAAAATAAAATATGAGAAAAATGTTTGTTATCAAAATAAAAATAACAAAATTTTTACCTAACTTAATTTAATTTTATTTTAGTTAAATGTTTTTGATACACTCGTTTGTTTACAATATTTTATTTCGTTCTTGCCTACACAACTCTTATTACCATCTATTTCTAAATAAAAATGGAATATTTTAAGAATTTGGAAGCAAAATGCAAACGAAAACTATCGAAATGGAATGAGTCGAGCTACTTATTAATAGATATACTTTGGTATGAACGGATAACCCGATTAAATGAAGTGGTAAGAAAAATAATAAGCGATTAAATGAAGTGGTAAGAAAAATAAATTTTGCGAATTTGAGTTTTGATTTAAAATTTCGAAGCAGAACCTTTTTTAGATTTAGGTTAGCAAAATTTCGAAGTAAGCACGTTTTTGGATTTAATTTAAAACGAGAAAAAATAGAGTTGACCTTGTCAACTCTGTGATACCCGTACGAATTTGTTATGACTATGGGACAGACAATGACTTTAAGTTGCCGTATTACCATATTAATTAATGCAAAATTTCAGTACTTTGTTCTTCAAAATACTGTGTGTGCCAAACTACTATTGAAGTTGTATGGCAGCTACCAGAAAGAGCCAAGAAATTTTAAAGAATTTTATCAAGCACATCGGCCCTACTAATATATTCACTTGTGTGAAATCTCAATATCACAGCTTTTATAGTTTCTGAGATATAGCCAAATAACTTTTGAAGTTGTATGGCAGCTACCCGAACCAGTACCTCGATCATATCCAATTTAAATAGGGTTCTGGCACTTACTGCAATAAATCATTTGTGAAAATTTGGTGAAGTTACCTCAATTAGTTTTTGAGTTATCGCTGAGTCTATACCTAACACCGTTATTTCTTAGCGTTACAAACGGTAAGGCAGATTTAGTATACCCTTCGAACATACGTTCGTACGGGTATAATCATTATGAAAATAGGTGAAAAATGGCAAAATTGTTAGCAAAATAGATAAAAAAAGTCGAAAAGAAATAAAATAGTAGGACGGACGGACGGACGGACAGACGGACAGACAAAGCTAAATCAACTCAGAATTCGACGCTGATTAAAAACATACACTTGAGTCTATATCTAACACCGTTATTTCTTAGCGTTACAAACGGTAAAGCAAATTTAGTATACCCTTCGAACATACGTTCGTACGGGTATAATCATTATGAAAATAGGTGAAAAATGGCAAAATAGATGAAAAAATTCGAAAAAGAATAAAATAGTAGGTGAAGAAAAGGCAAAAAATATTAATAATGGTTGAAAAAGATTTTAAACCATAAAAAGATTAAAAAAGTTTTTGGCTCATTAAAGGCAATTTTATGAAACGCATTTGTATATTAGTAAATATGTTCTAATTCCTAAAGAAGCACTACCTAAAGTAGTTAAAAACCTAAAAATCCATTCCTTAGTTATTAGAATTTAAAAGTTTGGACAACAAGAAAGAAAAACAACTTCAACAAGATTCATGTATTTAATAACTTTAACTATCCTTATCATCTGACCATTCTGTTCGTGCTAACTTTAATTTTAGATATTATTCGAAATATATTCAATCAGCCTTAATGTACTAGACGTGTGGCATATAAATGTGTGGGTTGACATATTTGTTATTCCACTAACTGTGGTTCGATTTATCCTTTATGCTCCTGTAATTTATTGGGGTTCTCTCCTCATTTTCTTCATCACTTTCATTTAAAATATAAAATGCTCGAAGATATTTTTTTTCACTAATTTACCATTTGTTATTAAATACTTTTGTCACTGGTGTTTTTTAAAGCTAATTTTGTAACTTTTAACATCTAAAATTTCGAATCTTTCTTCTATCACCTCATATTTCGCGTCTTGCAGAATCCCAAAAAAAAACTCTTGTAGTAAAATAAGACTGAATAATTACGAATTTGTTTTGGTATGTTGTAAGCATAAGAAGCAGAATATCTTTCTCCTCAAAGGGCATTTTCATTTATTCATAGCAAATATGCTTATTAGTTCGATCTAAATTTACTTAAATTTGGAAGCAATTTTTTTCTCCACGAAATTATTAAAATATTTACCTAAAACACAAACATAAAATTCATCCATTTTATAAAATAATTTTCAAAAGCCAAAGTTTTTAATCAATTTTTCGAATTTCCATTTACTTAGTCTTGTGTATATTTTATTAGAGTAATTTTATTTTCTTGTGGAGTGTGGGTAAATGTATACATTCATATAAAATTTTTACTTATCATAATTGTTGTTACGAAGAGATCTTCTAATTTCATATAAAGTTTTTTTAATCTGACTATCCCATTAAAAATTTATTAACTTTCGTTAAAAATTCATTTTACCTGTAAATATGTATATATATTTAAGTTTTTACAAAAGAATTTATAAAAGTAATTCGCAACCTTCTTTTATTTTATAATGCCGGGAATGCTACAAATTTAATCTTCTTGAGAATTAGCACACTCATAAATAAATGATGAATTAAGCTTCCATGTATTTTTGCAATAGGAAAAAATTGAACAGGATGTATTATATGAAAGAAATCGAATTTTGTTCATGTGTAAGTAAAATATAATTCTGTTTCAAATATCTGCTAGTCATTCTGAAAAAATGTTTGAAATTAAATCATGAAAAATTAAATAAAAAAGACTTTTCATTTCGATTAGCCCAATTGAAAGATAAGGTTTCGATTTATTAAGATCTGAAACAGAATTCAAGATGCAAAATTATGTTCATTGAGAAATTGAGTTTTTCACATGTGTTTTATGAATTTTAATGGTAAGTTTAAAATTTTATTAACTGATTATTGAAATTTTGAACTTTGTAATAAAGGTTCAAATTAGTTAAAAAAATAATTTAGTTAGTTTTTTTTCTTTGACAAATCACAAAATAAAATTTGAAAGTTCATTCAAAAAATTAAAAACTTTTACGACGTAACAAAAAGGAAAATACACAATAAAAAATTTGTTGCGCCAAAACTTTTACAAGACTTTGAAACGAGTAAATGACAAATTTTTATATATATTTCACTGTAATCTGCTATATTTTCGAGATTTCAGTAGTTATTTAGGTACTTTTAAAATATTATATGAACTTGAATAATGTTACAAATTCTTTCTGCATTTATTCCCTTAATCCCTTAGATATCACAGTTTTGCGCTTATAAAAAATTTTATTCCATTTGAATCAAACCAAGAGGATTAATTCAATTTGTGAATACAAAATAATGTATGTACATACACCTTAAAATGTAAGTATATATTAATAAAAAAATCTGATGTGATCAGCATATAACCGAACGCAATGTATATTGACTAGTATAGTGAAAGTGCTACAGAAGATTATGAGCATTAAAAGAAAGTGTTCATTTTCAATTTTAATTAATTTAGAAAGCTTTTCGCTAACATACCTAGAAATGTGTAAATTTGGCTCTTAGTAGAATTTCTTTTTGTGTCGCCCCCGATTGGTTTCCGAGTCTTGATTTTTCCAAAAAGTTGTAGATTTTTTATTTTAAGACCCTGAATTAAATATTTATTTTCAAGGAAATTGGTAGATTATTTCTCTTTATGTACGCAAAAATGTAAAATTGGCCCACAAAAAGGTCTAGTTCTACAGGTCTGACATATCGCAAAAGTTGATATATTCGTGCAATAAAATTTCACCAAAATCGGTTCAACTGAACTTGAGATACACACAGACCAACAAAGAAATAAACCGACATTTCTCTAAAAGTAGTTTATTTACGCCTCCCTTCTTTGGAAAAGTGCATCCCCACTGAAAATTCGACATCCGTGGTTCAATTCATCAATTCAAATTTGGTGCCATCGCATCACCTCCCTTATTGTATGAAATGGGGTCGGTAAAAATAATACAATTGGATTTTTGAATGAAAAAATAAATTTTAATCAATACGTAAAGGAAATAAAGTTGGAAAATATTCCTCTCCTGCATAAAATTTTTAATATTTATGTGAAGGTGTATGTATAACGTTTAGGGTTTCCAGTATCGAAAGTTTTATTTTCCAGTACTGATATTTACAGAAAACTAAAAATATGCATTTTTTTGTTATAAAAAAAAAGAAAAATATTGCAGATCAGTTGAATTGAAGAAAGAGTCATAAATAAAATAAAAAAAAATTGCTAAATTTTCGACACATTTACTTTAGTTTATTTAACAAATATAAATTAAGAAATAAAAATTAAAATTTAACAAATAAAAAATTTTACCATTTTAATAGTACCCCGCAACATTGCTTCGGAATTCATATAAGTCGATTAATATTGAGTGAATTCGACCAATTATGTTTACTCTTCGAAAAATTTTTAATTGAAAATATTTGTCATAAAGTTAGGTCAAATCAATGCTGTGTAGTGTAACAGTTTTTCCTTCAACAAATTGAAGGAAATGGAGAGAGAATTTTCTTCTGATGAAATAAACTATTTATGAATATCTAAGAGCAGTTAAATTCAGACTTCTACAACGTATAGTCTACAGCAAAAACAGTAGACAAAAATTTGGCAAAAACGGTAAATTTTAACGGCCATTTTTAAAGTTCAATTATGCGTTTGCATAATTTAAACCATTTTTGTGTTTAAAAATGGTATTAATAGGATTTTGAATTGCTATAACTTTTAGATTGATGTAAGCAGGTAAACATGTTTTTACGAAAAAAAATTTTTGGTAAAGATCTATATGTACATATGAAATTTCAGCTTTTTGTCTTCAAGGGTGTAGAAGTTTTGCAACCATGGCCACGGACGGACAGAGTAAAACTAATAAGCACGTTTTTTTTGGAAATTTTTTTTGGAAAAGTGCTAAAAAGTGAATGAGTATTAGCTTTATCATTTAAATTGCATTTTAAATTACGCTATACGTTACCGGAATTTTCGTTTGGCTTTTAAATTTTTTGAAGAACAGTGCAAGTCTTAAATGTTATTCTAAAATGTTTTTAAATTTTTTAATAATTATGAAAATATCAATTTTAATTTGAGAAAGGTTAATTTTTAGGTTACAGAGAAATCTTAATTTTTTAAAAATATGTATTATACAAACACAATTATATATTTATACATATCGCTACATATTTGAACATATAAGCATAAACCATTCAATTAAATATCGCAAAAATAAGACTAATTACCACATGTGTAACACAGACGAATCAGCATGCATTTTAATGGTGCTACTCGTATGACTTTCATAATCATTCATCTGTGCAAATATGTTACGATTCAGCTTTGCTAAATTTTCAACCCATAATTGAAAGTTTTTTTTTTGCTGTTTGTTTT